GTATATATATATATCAGATAGCTTTTTATCCAACCTGAAAAAAATATGACAGGTCAGGTCAAGTCAATTACCCGACCTGACCTGACCCGTTCGGAGCTCTACTTAGAAGTAGCTTAATTATAGCCTAATCTAATAGTTATTATGCAGTTACTGAATAGTAAGGAAACAAAGTTTCTGTAAAGAATATTGCACGTAGGGATGGATGGAAAATCAATGGTTAATTAAAATTTGGAATTTGGTTAACCATATAATACTAATTTTCTCTGTTTTAGTTAACAGCATGTATTGTTGTTATATTTATATATTAAACCACATAATATTATTTTTATCTTACATTTAGAGGTTTAGAGGATTACATGTAAATAAAAAATAGATATCTAAGTAAAAAATCTTACAAATTTTATTGGAATAAATACAGCTTAAAGCTTTAATAAAACAAATACATTAAAAATAATAAACAGAGAACGTGGTGTTCAAAACAAAACCTTGAACCTAAAACTGAAAATAAATACATAAGTACTTGTTTGCTACTAGTTAATGATACTAGTACCCAGGTTGCAAAGAATTGGTTTACTATTATTAAGCAAAAACAGATCCATTTCTGATGAACACATTTTAGGTCAATAATGGATTTGAATCTGTATAACAATAATAACAAATACTTAAAATAACTGATTAAGATGATATTATATTTGTTATTTAAATTAAAGAATAATTAAAGTGCGAAAATTAAAAATACCAATAATCTATTAAATAACAATAAAGGGTTAATGTCGATCTATTTTTAGTATCATTAATTCTAATTGGAAATAGCAAAATTTCTAAAGAAATTATATGAAGAGAAAACTTAAAATAAATTGGCCTTATGACAAAAATTGTGCAACCTAACATGCGCGTAAAAACGCGTAAATTCATACGTGTTTTAGTTTATCAGGGCAACGTTGCTAAATTTGGTAATTTTCAACATGTAGATCGTTATATATATATACTTGGGTTTCAACAAAAAAAAAAATTCCCAAACGTTCTCATTTCTTTCCTCCCCCTCTCGCGAACACAGTCTTTCGCAAACACATTCTGTTTTTGTGTCCCCTTCTTCACCCCATTTATATAAATAAAAACGAGAAGTTCTTTGGAAAACAGCTGCAAAAGGTCTACTGGTTCTGTACGTGGTTCCGGTTATGGGTTTTTCTTTTTAGCAGAGAACTTCGACCAGAAAGTAACTGGTTACCAAAACTCCAGAACAGATAACTGGTTACTCACGCCCAGAAGGACAGAACTGGGTATCAAACCGCCAAGAAGGAAAACTTGGGGCATGAAAGTGGGGTATAAAAAAATAAATATAAAAAAAAAAACAAAGGCATTAGATAGAAACCCAAAGGCTTTCTCGGTTGAGGAGCTCCATTTTTTTTTTGGGTTGCGATAAGTACTGACGTCCTCGTCGTAAATTTCTCTTGGAGAAGTTCTATATTACTTTTTATAAAATCTTTTATATTTTGTGTATAGAAGTGTCCGTTAACTTGATATGCAAATCCTTACGATATGTAAATTCAGCAACTTGTAATTTCATTTAAATTTGTAAGTAAGTTTAATTATAACAAAATATTTTTAATAATCTTGGTTTGAAAGAAAATAAAAGTTTATATGAATTTAATTAAATTAAATACATAATTAGATTCAATTCATTAATATTTATTTCTAAATATTTTTAACTATAAATTCATTTCAGTTAAAATTTTGAATTTTAAAGAAAACTTGTTTTTCTTTTTTTATTTAAAATCCATTTTGATTTTTTTTATCCTAAATTTTCAAGCCTTTTAATAAGTCTATATTATTTTGCATCTTATTCCTTTTTTCAGTTAAGGTTTCATAATTTATTCTAATAAAATAAAGATGAAAGATTAAAATAAAATAATTAATTTCCAATGAAATTATTTTATCCGAAAATATTTATTTAATTTATCGGAGAAAGGTTAAGGTACATACCTATCTATCTTTTTAGCAGAAGCGGGGGCTTTACTTTCGTATTCAGGTTTTTCCATTCGATTTTTCAAGAGACCCAACTCTAGTATAACTTTATCCAACTTTCTATTCAATTCTTTTAATTTGTCATCTTTACTTATATTATTTTCCTTCAAGAAAATTTCATATATTGAGGACATTGGTACGTATACTTTAAGGTTTGACGTTACGAAACTAACCGCCGAATTATTTAATGAACTATCATCCTATTATTAGCAAGTGGATATTAATCAAAAGTTGTTAAAATTAACAAATCACGAATAACCTTACCTGTGAATCAATAATTTTAAGTTCAGAGGCCTTAATGAATTTTTGTATATCTTTAAAATTCTTCTTGATTGGACCTTGATCATTTATCAATTCTTGATCACTTGTCCATATTATAAAAGGTAAAGATTTTGATGGTATATTATTCTCTTGTCTTAAAGAGCGTGAAGCATGGATGATATTTAAAACGACCTGAAAAAAAAAAAAAAAAATATTGAGTTTCTAAATACTTTAAAAGTCAGATCAAAGCATCACGTTATACCTGCATATCATGTTCAACTTTACTATCTTGCCACATACTAAAGTCCGCGATTTTTGGATATTCGGCCAACATAATTGATTCTGGTAAAAATTTATTCTCTGATCGATTTAAAAGACTTTGCCATAATTCCTATAAATTAACTAATTGGAATAAATGAGTTACTTTTTACAAAAACTAATTACATACATACCTCAGTAATAAATGGCATAAAAGGATGAAGCAATCTTAAGGAATTATCCAAACATATTTCAAAGACTCTTAACGCAGCTTTTTGCGCCTAATAAAACGTGAAAAATACTAGATATTTAAAATTTGTTAACTATTCCAGACATAAAATAAAAAAAAAGTGAAATGTACTTTATAATCGACATCTCCTTGATTCCCATATAAAACAGGTTTAACGAATTCCAAATAAACGCCGCACAAGTTCCCGACAATAAAATTTCGAAGAGTATCAGTTACTTCATGTAGCGCCATCTTTTGAAATCCATTTTGGGCATATACTATGGTATTGGCCATTTTAGATAGTATGTATCTATCCACTAGTGATAAATGTTCAGTATATGCACATAATGAGGAGGCCGATGCTGTCTTGTGTAGCGATACAACATGATTCAACGAGTCAAATCTATCATGTGCGAACTTAAATAGATTCCATATTTTGTTACAAAAATTTCTTGATGACACAACATTTGATATGTCTAAATTAATTTGTCGTGTCTATTTCAAATAGGTTTTTAAATCATCAGATTAAAATAAAAATTTAACCAAAACTTTAGAAAAAATAAATCATCAAACTCTTACTTGTTGGGTATACGATACCAAACTGAATCTCAAAGAATCGGTTCCGCATGCCTTAATACCTTCCGGAAATTCTTTAGATAACGATGAAGCACTCTTTTTTATCTCACTTTTAGTAAGGTTACTATCACATAAACTTTGTTGCATTTCTTTTGATGTTATACCATAAATTACATGTAATGGATCTATTACGTTTCCAAGTGATTTTGACATTTTACGTCCCTGTGAATCTCGAACCTACAATTTTTTTTTTTTAGAAAAAAAATCATAATTATATAATATTTCATAAACTAATTTACTTTCTTACCATTGCATGCAATAAAATATTCTTAAAAGGCGGTTTTCCAGAAAAATAAGTACAGAGCATGGTCATTCTAGATACCCAAAAGAACAAAATATCAAATCCTGTTTCAATCATAGTTGTAGGATAATTCATCTATTAGAGTATATCAAGCATTAATCGATAAATCATTAAATTCCAATTTAATTTGTAACATATGTTACTTACAGGAATTTCATGACCCCCATTCCATTTTAAAGCAGATAAAGGTAATAAAGCCGACGAAAACCAAGTATCCAATACATCATCATCCTAGTAATACAAATAGGTCATTTATTATAATTTCTTAGTAACAAAAAGTAAAATCCGATTGTATACTTCATATCCTTACTCGTTTTAAAGTATAATTGGTTTGTAATGAAATATTATTCTGCCTAAAATATTCTTTAACGAGCTGATCAGCCTCATTCATTGAAGCTGCCACAAACCATAATCCATTACCTAAATAAAAACGTATAGTCAGATTTGATTAATCATACATATTTAGAATTGACTTTACACCAACTTACCAGATGTTTGACCTTCATATGATAAATGATATGCAGGAACAGAATGGCCCCACCACAATTGTCTTGATATGCACCAATCCTGTATATTCCCTGTATTATAAATTCCATTCCTGATAAGTAACTTTAAACATCATTATATAATAACTGAATAACTTTCGATATACACCTAACCATCTATTCCATTCTTCGATATGATGACTAGGTTTAATAACAATATTTCCATTTTCAACATCCTGTAAAGCTCTCTGAGCCATATCTTTACACCGTAAATACCTAAAAAAAAAAATGTTAAAAAAAAATCTCCAACTAGAGAATTTATATATTATTTCTAATTCGATTTACCATTGAGGTTGCAATAATTGCTCAATTACATCTCCAGATCGAGAACATATAGCAACTCTCATCTCATGATTTGTATCTTTTCCACGATAATAGCCCAAAGACTGTAATTTATCCACAATAATATTTCGTACATCAAATCTATCATTGTTCTACTTGATCCAAAAGAATTTTTTTTTAAAAAAACAAATAAATATCGATTATATGTTTAAATTCTCAACTTACAATCAAACTAATTATTCCGCAATTATCATTCAATGTGCCATTCTTATTAAAAATATTTATTATAGGTAATTGATGCCTACGTGCACAAGCGAAATCATTTGTATCATGCCCAGGTGTCACCTAAATGAATATAAATTAAAAAAATGTATATTTCTTATTTCATTTGAGTATAAAAACATTTTACTACTCACCTTCACGGCACCTGTTCCAAATTCCATATCAACAAGTTCAGGATCACACACAATCGGTATTCTTTTATTAAGTAAAGGATGCATAACATATTTTCCATGCAAACTCTATAACATTTCCAATTTTTTTTTTAGGAAGAGAAACCTATTACGAACGTCAACATACACTTTTTTTATTTAAATCAAACCTTATAACGAGGATCATCAGGATGTACAGCTACAGCAGTATCTCCCAACATTGTTTCAATTCTTGTTGTAGCAACGACCAACTCTCTCAAATCTGATGAACCATTGTCAGCGATGGGATATGCGAATTTATGAATAACACCAAATTCAACTCTAAATTATAATAACAAACAACGTTGTTTATTTAAAATGGGGAGTTAAAAATGATAAATAATAATAATTACTTTTCCACTCTACCGGGTAGACTCAAAAACGTTTGCTTGGAAATAGTTTCATAATCTACCTTTTAAAGTTTAATTAAGATATTTCATAATAAAACGTTACAAAATCATTGATTATAATTTTTAAAATAATCTTACTTCTATATCAGAAATAACAGTTTCCAAAGCACAACACCAATTAACCAGCCTAGTGTCCCGATAAATCATTCCATCATTATATAATCTAATGAATGCATTTGTTACAGCTTGTGAACGTGGTGAGTCCATTGTAAAAAACAAATTGTCCCAATCCAATGAAGCTCCTAAACATCTCTTACATAAAGTGCAATAGTGAATTTAATATGATATTGAGAATAATAATGAAGTACTTGAATCAAAAAAAAAAGAGTCTCGATTACCAATTGTTGAATTATTTTGTCACCATGTAGCTTGCGCCAATTCCAAATTTCTTTAACAAAATTCTCTCTTCCAAGATCATGACGAGTAATCTACCAGAAAAACTTTGTGAATTGTTTAAGGCTAAAACTTTGGAATAATTACTTTTTTTTTTGTATACTTACATTTTGTTCTTTGAGTAGTTTTCTTTCAACAACAGATTGTGTTCCAATACCAGCATGATCAGTTCCAGGTATCCAAGAAACTCGATATCCAGACATTCGATACCATCTACTTAAAGCATCCTATATAAACGTCTTCATTATATTCATTCAATTTATAAATCAACCTAAAACATATCTACTATAATATCCTACTTGTATACTAAACGTCAATGCATGTCCTATATGTAAAGATCCTGTAACATTTGGGGGAGGCGAAAGCATAATAAACTTTTCTGAATTCCTATCATCCGAATTTGTTGATCCAAAGAATCCTTTTTAAATTAATATAATAATTCGCCTCAGTAAATAAAAATAAATAGATAAATAAAATAAAAATATTATGAAATTTGAGATACCTTTTTGGTCCCACCAATCATACCATCCTTGTTCAACAGTCGCCTTTATGAAAATAAAATATAATCAAATATTCCAAAAAATTAACCAAGATTTTTTTAATTAATTAATTTTTTTTTTAATTTTATTATTTTTTATCTTACAAAATCATAACTTTTTCCTAATTTTACTGAAGGTTTTTGTACAACTTGTAATATGTTTGAAGTTACTTCATTATTTCCTGGTAAACTTATGTTCCTTCTCTGACATTTTTTAAGAATTTTTATATAATTATAATTTTTTCTTGTTACATTCAAAATGCGATCCATTATCAATAAGTGTAGATCGATTTTTAACATCTCGATTTTTATAGTGTGTTGTTTTATGATAATCCAACATTTTCCATAATAGGAAACACATAAAATTCGCGTAAATCAACTCAAAAAAAAAAAAATTACCTAAAGAAAAAATCAAAATTTCTTTAATCCCGGTACGTTATAAATGTACAATGACAACCACAACTTACAATGACGCGACATTCATAACTAAATAAAACAAATTTACATATATACAGTTATATATCTTTTTTTCGGTAAATTTCTCCCCCTCAGAAGATCAAGAGATCATGTACGGTTTGACCTTTAGGAGAGAACATGTGCATATCAGATCTGCAGGTGGCCTATTTGATTTGTCCATGCACGACCACAAACTTCAGATTAATTAGCTTTGGAATTTAAAAAACGTGTCCCATAAGCTAGTTCATTTTATCTTTGAAGCTTAATAAAATAAATAATTCTTTGATCATTCGGCGTAAAATTTTGATTATGCTCCATAAATAAATCCATATTAAAGTTTTTAAATACTGTAGAATGCAATGCTAACATTTAGCGGCTGATTACTAATAGTATCGGTATTTTCAATAACAACATTTGCTGAACTCTGCTCAGCAAAATACGCTTGTTTCAATCATCATAATTAGATTGATGTGACATTCTATATAAGAGTAAAGTACGCTTAAATTAAACCGTTTAAACTACTGCGTTTCCTTTGTAATCATATTTGGGATGGTCGCAGAACAATCAGGTTATGATTAAAAATTGCATTTTAATTTCAGTCTATTAGAATGTGTTTTCAATATTTTAATAAAGAATAAGTTTTCTACTTTTCGAACCCGTTTTTTAATATATTCTTTTTGCTCGTTATTTTAAAATATCAAGGAACATGTTTTTTCGTAATATAAATCCGAAGATCAAAGTTTTATTTTGTAAGGATAACACAATTCACCTTTTCTATTACTCGCTTTTCTGAAAAATTCCACTCGTTTATATTTTACACTTTAGAATCATGATAAAAAAATCAAAAAATCAAATTAAACTTTCAACTTTTATTGGAATAATAAAAAAAAAAGTTCATTTGATTAACAGAGTTCCAAAATTACATTCAAAAAAATATACATACATACATATATACATGTATATATACTGTTTATATATTAATAGAAAAAAAAAAAAAAAACAGAAGGAAAAAGGAAGACATACGACAAAAAGGAATTATTTGCATTATCGAGTTACCTAACATTAGTTTTAGGCTCAATTGTGCTAATTTTTTTGATCCTCTTCTTTTTCTCATCAGATAATTTAACGAAATGACATGTCTTCTCATATTCAGTATAACTTTTAATTCCAGGCGGTAAAGAGGGAATGATCTTTCTCTTAACGTATTCTTCAATAGGTTGAGTAACACGCTTATCTCTGTTGCACAATTCACTTCTTAAAGCAGATTTCACCATCAATTTAATGGATCTTTTAGGACCCCTCGCCAAAACATTATAATAATTTGTCCTTTGATATTTTATCAAACTCTCAAGGGTAAATTGATTCAATAGATAGTTGAAGGTCTTTTGCTTGATTTTTGCATTCCTCTCTTGAAATTGAACGATAGTACTTTGAATGTCAGCTTCAATTTTTTCAACTATAGTGGGTTGTTTACGTGACTCTGAAGTTGGCTTTTTCTTCAAAGCTGAGGGGGAAGACGATGGTCCATTCACCACTTGAGGATCGATCGTAATAGGTGGGAGGCAAGAAGTAACTTCCTTTCGCTGGGAGGCGGAATTCTTTTTAACGTAGTTGAAATCATCTTGCAAATTTTTTGGTTCATTATTTTCTAGTTCAGAAGCTTTGAGATCAAGTAATATATCCCTAAGCTTCTGAGCTGCATTCAAATTCTGATTGGGATCATGTGAAGGGTGGTTCCGAGGATTGTATTTGATATCCTCATCCAAATCGTCTTCCAACTGATGATCTTCTTTATTAACATGATCCTCAGCAGGTATCGTGATATCGGATTCAATACCTTTTCCCTTGGACGCGGCTGATGATAATTTTCTTTCACAATTATCGATCATTTCATTATCGCTGTATTTATTATTAGGTGATATCGCTGAAGTTGAAGATTCGCCATGTGATTCCACATTGCTATAAAAGTATTCATCAAATAATACCGAGACCTTTTCATCACTTTTTATATTTGAACCCTTTGGAGGGGTTGGACGCGCTTCATTGTCGTCAAATAATTTTGGCAGGAAGATTAATTTTTCTTTTTTAATATCAATTTCATTTGACTGATCATTTTCAGCAATTAATCTTTCCGATTTGACATTAATTTCATCGGCGGATGCGGTCAGATTTGCATGACTGAAATCATCATCTTTGATATCATTTGGCAGTGTATTATTATCTGTGATCGCGGTCAAGTCCCCTTTTTTGATATCAACGATCTGATTTGATTTCGAATCAGTATCTTTTGAATCTGAATGGATAAACTCAAAGTCATCACTATCATACTCTTCAGATAAAGTTTCATCAAGTCCAAGAAGCGTTTTAATTTCTTTTTTAAAATCAAGGAATTCATCTTTGAGCCTCCTTATTTCGCGACACTTTGTAATTGACTCGTTTTCTAATTCCTTGATACGTGACCGAAGGGAATCTATAAGATGTGATTGACATACGAGCTGTTCTTGTTGTTTCCCCAAAATCTTATCCAGTTCCAAAGTTTTGGCAAGTTCATGTTTCATTTGGTCTTGAATATAAAATTTTGAAGAGTTTTGAATATCTAAACTCATACGTTTTCCAAACGTTTCAAACTCTTTTGCTTGCCTTTTTAATAACGTGAATAAAGCGTCAGACGGTGACAAGGATTTTATACCGTTGGAAGGGTCTGGCTCCATAATTTTTTTTTTTTTTTTTTTTGGTTGGAAGGGACTGCGGGTCAAGCTTCTAGATAATTTAACTTTGTTACCGTGGGGAAAATGAGGAAAAGGTTGGTTTCGCAATGATAGTTGCTTTTTATAAACATTTTGATTTAAGGTACATAGTAGCACAAACTATGACGATTTGGACGAGGCGCAGTCACAATTTTAGGGAACGCAACAACTCCCCCGACTTGATCTGTCAGGAAATAACCGCGTGACAAAATCATGGTATGTATTGATTCTTCTTTCATCCCGACACGTGATAGATCGACCCCATGGTCAGTCAGGTTCACGAAAGGTTCGTTTGAAACTACAAGTTAAACCTTTCTAATTTGTTCAAAAACGACGTAATCGATCGAGTGCGCGAAATTTCTTTCTCAAAAAATTATTATGATAAAAGTATCTAATTAATTTAATTTAATTATAAGGATAGATTAATTTAAACATAGTTTGATAACTAATGACTAATTCATCAAGATCAAGACAAAAAAGTAAGACGTGGAACAATAGCCACATAATGAAATAATGATGATCATCAAACCTTTTAAAAATCATTAAAATTATTACCTCTGTCATTGTTTTAAAAATCTCACACAAACTTTCACATGAAAATCGTTCACAATTAAATTTATCAGTCTTAAAAAAATCTTTCCGATTGAAAGGAAAGGAACAAAATTTTTTATTTTTTATTTTTTATTTGTTTTTTTCAAATACATGGGATTTTGAAAAAAGTCTTATGCATATTTTTAGGTTTCCATAAAAAGAAAAAGAAAAAAATCCTATACCATTTTTAAATATAAATAAATATAGAATCGATTTCAACATTTGACTCGAAGATTCGATTTTCGATTTTCGATTAATCGAATATAATCGATCAATTGAGTTAAATAAATAAATAAATTAATTAAATTACAAAATAGGGGATCTATATTTGCAAATTTTGAAAATAATTAAAAAATATAAAATTAATTATTAGAACACGCGATTATAAAAAAAGAAAACTTTAAAAAATACAATCGCGGGTATTTAAAATTTCAAATTATTAATTAATTAAAAAAAATTGCCATTAAAAATTAAAAAAAAATCAAAAATCGCGGAAAAATAATAACATTAAAAAAAATCAATTAATTAATATCGCGATAAAAACAAAAAATTTTTTAAAAATTAAATAAAAAAATTTAAATTAAGATAAGTTAATTTTAAATTTAAAAAAATTCTCGGATATAAAAAAATATTTAAATTTTTAAAAATTATAAAATTAACAAAATAACATACAAAATTAAGAAAACCGAAAACAAATTACATTAAAAAAAAAATAATTAATAAATAAAATTTAAAATTTAAAAAATAATAAATTACAACAATTACAAGTTAGGATTAGAGTCGGATTAAGTTTTTATAAACACCAATGATTAGTTAGCGTTAAGATTAGGGTTATGGATAGAGTGTTGGATTATTTATAAAAATACATCAATAATTGTATTATTTATTTTAAATTTCTTTGTTAACCCCGGGTAAAACCACAAGTTTAATGATAATAATTTATCGCGAAAATCAATTTTTAATATTTATATAATTTGTCATATAATTTGTAACTAAACAACAAATTCAACTACCACTCCATATAGTTAAGACACTTTTTAATAATTGTAATGCGCCGTCTGCTGAACATTTTACATGTCATTTTACGTCCAAAAATAGATTCGATTTTTTTTTAATTCGATTTTATTAGAAACCTAATGGGACAACTAATTTAGTAAATAATTATGATTTATTATAAATATATATTTATTTATTTATTTACTTTTTTTCCAAAAATGTTAATTGTCAATCAAAAAAAAAAAAAAAAAAAAAAAACTGCATGACCACGGTAGAAAGAAAACTTGTGAGTGAATTTGAAGGGGGGAGAAAAATGATCGTCATCGTTATTTATTTACGCGAAAAATACCCTTTAAACATGACCAAATGACCAAATGTAACCTAAATCACACAAAGTTTCAATTTATTGATCATTTACGTAAGATGTGACATGTAACCGGAAAATGACGATATAACGAAACCTGTTCGCATCATAGGCAACGTTTAATTTAGGTCGTACACGTGGGGACGGGAAATTCTTTTTTTTTTCCTTTTGTTTCAAACGAGCACTCGTCAACGGATCTTTAGGGAAAGAAAAACAAATTTGTTAACGACGTTCGGAAAAATTGTTCACGTACCTAAAAAAAAAAAAAAAAAAGCTTAAAGGAAGATCCATTTGACTCGAACTCGTGGTTTGCCAATTATAATGTATGGATGAAGGATCATACTTTGTTAGGGTCGTATAAGTACAATTTTGGTTACCTTTATCTTGATGAAATCAACATCTGAATATTAGGAATTCCTTATTTCGGATATACAGAATACTTGTGATAGGCATATTATGATAAACAAAATTCGACATAATCAGCGAAAATGAATATAAATAAGGAGCGATCATATCATATCAATTAACGCACATATATATATATTATATGGTTTTGTTTTGTTTTATTTTTCTTGTGAAGAAAAATATTTCGATAATTAAACGAATTATACAATTCTTCTAAACAATCCTATAATGGATAATGACCTTGAAGACGATAATCTTCATACGGAAGAAGCACGTCAGCTAAATTCAAGGCCGCTTAATGAAATGATTTATCAAAAGTTGGATAAACAAACCTCAGAACTTGAATGCCTATGTGAACGCATTAAAAACTTGGAAATACAACGAACCAATACTCAAACATATCATCATGTCCCCATTTCATCCAAAGAATCATTAACGGCAGCATCTGCACCGCCGCCGACATCATATATCTCACCAATAAATCTTCCTCCGATTGGCGAGTTAAAAGATTATCAGTCAATTATAAGACGTATCGAAGAATTAGAGAGAAATTCGATTTTGGCAAATCATGAACTCGGGAGGTTACGAAGGGAAAACTTCGATTTAAATGAAAAGATTCCTTTATTGGTTCAAGTTGAAGTAAAGAAATTTAAAAAAGAGATAATGAAATGGTTATCAAATAATCATAATACCAATGATATAAAAATCGCAATTGATCTTTTGAATCCCATCTACGATGATAATAACATTAAAGGTCAAGATAATGTAATGAATTCGGATGATACCTCGTATCCTTCGAACCTTTTTGAATCGAAACCTCAAAGGGTAGTCGTACCTCCTCCACCTGAACCCCAATTCCAAAAGGTCGTTCCTTCGAGCAATTATAATTATAAGAATTATAATCCCATTTTTGAAAATCTCTATATAGAATTACAAAACACTGCAAATGAATTATGTAATGATAGAGATTCATTTAGGAAAAAAATGAATTCTTTGAGGGATATGTATAATTAATCTTTTGACATAGATATCCTATTTTTAATAAAAATGTTTGTTATTCATTTTTTTTTTTTTGTTTCTCTTCAAATAATGTATAATTAAAATTAATATTTCCATATAAAAGAACAAAAGAAAAAGAGGTTTATTGTCTTATAAAACGGGTTGATGAATTTATTATTGTCTTATGAAATAGGTCGATAAACCAATTTATATTTTTAATTTTCACACAGTTCCAAAACAGGTCAATGAACTGGATTTGAACAATGGCGTAGGCTGTTTTTGTTGATTTTTCCGGTCGACCAATTTTTAGTATAAAATGTGTTCATTTCCCGCATCAAAAACTTTTTAAAAGATTTCCTTTAAACAATCTTCTCACTCTCAAGAAGCCAAAACAAAAAAAAAACACAAATTTAATACCCAACTTCAAATCATTTGCAAAAGGAAATCATCATAAAATTAAAGGTCTTTTGACGAAAACAAACGACTCAATTCATTGCAATCACTTTTAGAAATGGCATTCGGACGAACCAAACAGAATAATAAAACAGCCTCTCCTCGTTCGGCTACAACGGTTGATACCAAAATTGAAAAATCTTCCTTAGAGATTGTTCCCATTTCCTCACACCCTTCATTCAATTATTTTACTTATCAGAAGGACGACGTTACAAAACATGAACAACCCTATTCACCTAAAACATTTGAAAATTTTGATGATAAAATCGGTTTACCCTCTTCACATCCTTCACACAATTATTTTGCTTCTCAAAGAAATTCAAGTTTTGAACAAATCCAAACCGTTTATGATTTCAAAATTAGTTTACCTCCTTCACACCCTTCATCAAATTATCTTGCCTCTCAAAGAAATATAGATTTCGAACAACTCCATTTCCAAATCCAAAACATTTATGATTGTAAGGCCAGTTTAAAAAACCTTCGATACCTAAAGCATTTTTTTTCAAACGATCATTTAATTCGATATACAAAATCGGATCATTTTAATTCCTTAAGTGAAAAAATTAAAAGGTTGATAAATCTTCTCATCTACGAAATCTTATCGGATGAATTTCGACGGGAAAGCGTAAAACTATCACAAAAGTTGGAAGAATACATCAAAAGAAATTTGATTCCGGAATTACCAAATGGATATAATAGTTATACTGAATTTGAGAATAGTAAGGCTTTTAAATTCTTAAGTAAGATGCAAAGGAAGAGAGTCAAAAAATTGGTTAGATTAGAGAATAATATGACTCCCCCGAAACAAGTTCCTAAAAGGCAAAGGAACGAGATGAAATCATACAATCGGTCGAGTAATTTTACGGTGAAACATGGTGGATTAATTGTTCTATGTGCGGACGATATGGTGTACCATTAATTATTAGGATAAATTTTTTTTTTTTACATATCTTGGACTTTTTTCTTTTTCTTTCTCTCTCTTTGTATTCATTCAAATTATCAATATATTTATTGTAATAAAGAAACATTTACAAGACAAAGTTTCCATTCGAAAATGTTATCCTTTCGTGCAATTTCAGATGGCTTTTGTCGCCAAATTGGGGAAACCATTGATGGAACGACGATCCCTGACATTTATATGTAAAGTGATTTTTTTTTATAGTATCAAAAGCGACGCAGCAACTAATTTTTCCGGATCAGGTAACCATATTAGTAATTTTTTATTCCCACACATTTAAGTAAAAAAAAAAAAAATTTTTTTTTTTCCTCCGCACTGATTTTGACCCTCTCCATTTCATTAATCATGGAGAAAGAATTCACGACAATTTCGTTTCAAAATAATCCAGATATCTCAGATATTCCAAATGACAAGTATGAAAGTTCCTTATCATTAAAATACCTCAATAAATTAATCAGAAGACAAGCGAAAGGGTCCGAGGGGATCCGCAGAACATCCGTTGGTCAGGAATCAAAATTCGAAAGATGAATAATCAAAGGCGAATCGATTCTCAGTCAGAAACAATCGAATCGTTAAGGGATCGTATCGATGAATTGGAGATCGATTCTTTCATTCAAAATCAAAATATTAAAAAACTTCAACAGGATTTTAACAAGTTGAAGATTAAGGATATAATTAACAAGGGTAAATGTGATGTCAAAGGTCATGAGAAACTTGTAAACGACAATGGATCTATTGGATCTGCAACATCTCCCTTGCAGATCAGCTCAACCTATTCAGAAGATCAAGGATCGATTCCAAAACTTGTTCATCAAATTCAACAATCCATTACGCGAGAGAATATCAGTTTAAGAAATCTCCGATATTTAAAGCATCACTTTTCAATCAATCATTTGGTTCGATATACAAAATCGGATGATTTTAATTCTTTAAGTGAAAGAATTAAAAGGTTGATAAATCTTCTCATCTATGAAAGTTTGTCAGAAGAATTTCAACGAAAGGATGTAACGCTCTCACAAAAGTTAAACGAATATATCGAAAGAGGTGTAATTCCAGCATTACCAAAAGGATATAATAGTTATAAACAATACAGTGAGAGTATCTTGTTCAAGAAATTGAATAAAATCCTAAAAGAGAGGATTACAAAATTAATTCAAATAGAAAAAAAATTGACCACCGGAAAGAATGAAAAATTTTAGGTGGACAAATAAGAATTAGAAAAAGGTTAGAAATCTTGTTTTTTGAATTTTTATAAACAAACATGCAATGTTGGCCAATTGCGGGCCGATTTACACATAAACATGAGAGATTGGTTGGAAATAATAAATGTAACGTGATCAAAGGCGTAAAATAATATATACTTTTTTAAAAGATGGAATGATCTGATCTAAACCAAAATGAGCGAAAAAAAAATTTTTTTCGGATCTGCATATATTTAAATTTTTTTTTTTTTTGGTTTTTATTTTTATTTTTTTTTTCGAATTCAAAATCTTTTAATAATGGAGAAATCAAATTTACAAAATAATATTCCACAAAATCCTTTTTATAAATTTTCATTAAAACAGAGGAAGGAATCTGAAGAATTTGGTAGGCTTACAATCGAGTATATCAAACGACAAAATGAAAATCTTCAACAATTATATTCTGAAAGTGAAATCGTTGAATCGAGAATTAAGGATTATTGCAGGTGCAAAGAAACAATTAGAGAACAAGAACATTTAATCGGCACATTAAAATATCGCATTGAACAATTAGAAGCTTCCATTGTGATTAAAAATCAAGATATTAATAATTGTCTTAATATTATAAGAAAATCCAAGGAAGAAATGAAGTTGAAAGAAAATCGTGAAAGTCCCGCAGCATGTTCAGAACTATCAAGGAAACATCATAGGACAGCAAAAAAGTCTTCCATTTCTTTAAACGATAATGAAAATAAGCAAACCAAGCAAGTACAAGATCCCCCGATATACACTATTTCCATAGGTGACATTATTAAAAAGTATGCCAATAAAGTTCAGGAATCGCAAGGTCAAAAGCAAGGAAATAACACGTTATCAGAATCTTTATTAGACAATCCTTCATCCAGAGAACGATTGAAACGAGATGAAAAGGCTGAAGAGTTACAATCGACCTCGAGAATCGATGAATCACAAGATCTCATACAATTATATGATGATGATGATGATTCTACAAAATTGGAACAATCTCATCTTGCAAATGAGAATCTTATAAAAAATTTGAACATTTCAAAGACGACCCATTATGATTCATTATATGACTTATATAACTTCTCTTTGTATCCCTCGAATAAATATTCATCATATTCATCTTCACAAATTAATTCAATTTGTCAAGAAAGTCAAGAAACCATTTCAAAACTTAAACAAATTCATAATCAACTTCAACAAGTAATCACGCAAAGTAAAGGAGATCCCTTGTTTGTGGTAGGTTAGATCATTTAAATTTCTTTTGATAGAATTTTTATGCAATAAAGATTAGAAGAGAGATCTTCTTATCCAAGGGTCCTTCCTTTGTCGAATAAAATTCAAAGGATTGGAACAATTTCATGCAAATTATTACCGAAAAAGAAGCTAGTGGTCGGGTCAGACTTTAACAATCCTCTAAAAATCATTTCAATTCTTTAAATAAAAAATTTAAATATTTTGGTAAAGAATTTTAACAAGATGTAACTCTTTCACAAAGATACCAGGATACTAAATACGAGAAGTTTACAACGAGTAGAAAGTTAATAAGGAAAGGAATTCAAATTTAAAATTATATTCGGATTTTTTTTTTTTTTTACATTTATGTTATAACTTGTATATAAAAAAATAATTTATAAATATTAACCAAATCGCCCTAATCCACTTTCTTTTTTATTGAATGAATTTGGTAAAATTAAAAAAAATAAAAAGAAAAACTACTGATACGATGAGAATTTTCTGATAAATTATAAATATCAGACGGTTAAACCAAATATTTGTCGTTAAGGTTGCCGGAGGCTTTGACAGGCATCGAAATCGAAACACATCGATTCGACTTTTGCCAAAATGGGATTTGACGTCATTTACTGATAACGTAAATATTACATCATAATATATATATATATATATATATATACGCACCAACATTTTTGATAAAAAAATTTTCAACTAGTTCCCTTTTCCTCAAAAACTTTTTTTTTTTTCGCAATGGCAATTCAGAATAGCACCGATGAAAATCAAAATGAAAATCAAATTGAAAATCTTCAACAATTAGATTCTGAAAATGAAAATGTTGAGGATCATCGTAAATGTGAAATAAAGTTTAAAGAACAAGAAGATTTGATAGACTCATTAAAATCTCGTATTTTACGATTGGAAGAATCTATTGTTGTTCGAAATCAAGAAATTGATGATTTTATTAAAACTATTAATGAAGAAATCAAACGATTTACTGGAACGATCTATAAATTGGAAAAGAACCGTGAAGATACAAATAACGTCGATTATAAGTGTATCGTAACGGGTTCAGATCTCAAGGATTTGAATGCCGCCAAAGAAAATTATAGTAAAGGTTCCTTTTACCATAGGCCAACAGAAACAGCCTCCATTTCGAAAGATCAAGATCCCCCCACCTTTACAATTACGATGAACGACATTATTAAAAGATATTTTGCAAAAGTTAAAGAATCAAAACAAAAGAAAAATATTGTACATGAATCCTCAGAAGTAGTTCCTACTTCTTCAGTCGATACTTCATTAAAAAGTTCCTTTGCTGTTACCCAAAGTGAAGGTGTAATTGAAAATTTGAAAAGTTTGAAGAAAGGTGAAAAAGTCGAGTATGCGAATGATGCAAAAGATGAAGTTCTTAAACAGAAAAAGAAAAGAAAGAAAAGAAAGAAAATTAACAATTTATCAAAGATAACTCATGTCCCCTCTAATACTACCAAATCTTCAAATATCGAACAGATTCACACACAAATTAAACAAATTATTACGCAAAAAGAAGCCATTGGAAATAAAATTAGATTAAAACACATTCAATCACTTGAAGATTCTTTTACACGTGATGAATTAATTCAATATTCAAAAACAAATTATTATCATTCTTTAAATGATAACATCAAGCGATTGTTCAAACAACTTCTTACTCAGGTTTTGGCATCGGCAACTCATGATTCCACAAAATCTTCAAAATTCGAACAAATTCATACACGAATTCAAAATATTATTACGCAAAAAGAAGTCATTGATAGTAAAATTAAGTTAAAACATATTAGACCTTTCAAAGATTCCTTTACACGTGATGAACTAATTCGATATACAAAAACAACAAATTTTAATTCACTTAATGATAGAACCAAAAGATTATTCGTACTCTTTATTCAAGAATTATCATCGACTTCTACAAATGAGATTGATGCTATCAAATTGGAAAATCTTCACAAAAAGATTATTACAATAGCAGAGACTAGGGGTAAAACGATTAGTAAAGATCATCTCGATTTTCTAAAAAATCCCTCCGTCTTTAACTATTTAATTCATTATAAAAAAACTCATCATTTCGATTCTTTAAGTGATCTAATTAAAAGTTTCATTGATTCCATCATTTATGACGGATTAAAAAAAGAATTCAATCGGGAAAAAATAACGCTTTCACAAAATTTAGAAGAATACATTAAGAGAGGTTTAATACCACAATTACCAACAGGTTACCATAATTATGCCGAGTATGAAAGGACAGGCATGTTCTTTTGCTTATCTAGGAAACAAAAATCGAGAGTTAGAAAGTTGGTTGTGTTGGAAAATAAAATGGGCAAAGTAATTTAGCGAAAGTTCTTTTTAATTTATCCATTTTAGAAATGATAGCTGTCGGTTTAATCACGTGATCATGAAGGCGCCCAATTCTTTGTACCACAATGCAAAATAATGCATAAAAAAAAGAATTTTTTTTCTTTCACGCAAATTCAGAATGGAAATGCAAGAGAATAACATTGCAGAAAGGTCCGCGGAGATTCGAAAAAGTTTGGAATTAGAACTTTCATATCAAGAGTACTTTTTAGACAACATTGATGATGAAACTCGAACAAATTTAGAATCACAACCCTCATATCAAGATTACTTTCAAGAAAATATAACGGAAGGTTCTTTAGAAACTCAAAAAGGTTTAGAAACACAACCTTCATATCAAGAACACTTTTTAGAAACTATTGAGGAAGAAATTCAAACAAATTCAGAATCACAACCTTTACATCAAGAGTTCCTTTTAGTGGAAGGTTCCGGTTCCGAGGTAACCCAAAAATATTTGGAATCACATCCTTTAGAAAACATTGCGGAAGATACCCCAAAAAGTTTAGAATCGCAACCTTCATACCAAGAATACCTTTTAGAAACCGTTGTGGAAGGTTCTGAAGGAATTCCATCGCAACCTTCGCATCAAGAATATGTTTTAGAAACCAGGTCCGAAATTCAAGAACCTCAACCCTTAGAAATCATTGCAGACATCGTAGAAGAGACCCAAAATAGTTTTGAATCACAATCTTTACCTCAAGAGTACCTTTTAGAAACCATTGAGGAAAATTCCGAAGAAATTTCAAAAAATTTGGAATCGCAACCTTCACATCAAGAGTATCTTTCAGAATCTATTGTTGAAGGGTCCGACGAAATTTTAAAAAAGTTTGAATCGCAACCTTTAGAAAACATTTCAGATATTGCAGAAGAGTCTACCGAAACTCGAAAAAGTTTTGAATCACAACCTTTACCTCAAGAGTACCTTTTAGAAACCATTGAAGAAAATTCCGAAGAAATTTCAAAAAATTTGGAATCGCAACCTTCACATCAAGAGTATCTTTCAGAATCTATCGTTGAAAGGTCCGACGAAAATTTAAAGTTTGAATCGCAACCTTTAGAAAACATTGCAGATATTGCAGAAGAGTCTACCGAAACTCGAAAAAGTTTTGAATCACAACCTTTACCTCTAGAGTACCTTTTAGAAACCATCGTTGAAGGGTCCGAAAAAATTCAAAAAAATTTGCAATCATTTGAAGGTTCTGAAGAAAGTCAAACATATTTAGAATCACAACCCTTATATCAAGATCAAGAGCACCTTTTAGGAAATATTGTGGAAGATCCTACAGAAATTCAAAAAGATTTAGAATCACCACCTTCATATCAAGAATACCCTTTAGAAACCATCATGGAAGATTCTATAGAAATTCAATACCTATTGGAAAGTAATCTTCAAAATTCTATTAAACAACCTCTTGAACCGATGAAAGATTGTATTTGTAAAGAGCAAATGGAATCTCTAGTACAATTAATCGACTCATTAAGAACTCGTGTTGAAGAATTAGAAATTGAATCGACCACCAAAGATCAAAATTTTAAAAAACTTCAACGAGAATTTAATGTATTTAAAAAGGAAAGTTCTTTGAAACATGATAAAACTTCTCAAAAACAAGCAAAAACGCCTCATTTGACTTCACCTTTATCTATTAATGGCGTTCATTCGCATAAAACTGTCGGGGTGCCTCCTTCAATTCCTTCACATATACCTTCTATAACAACTAAAGTTCCTTTAACCATCGTTAAATCTTCAATTCCGCAGAAGAAATTATCTTTTACTTTTTCTAGACAGAATTTGAATAAAGGTAAACCTTCTTCAATTCCACGAAAGAAAGTTTCTTTTGACTCTCCTCTTTCACATTAAAATCACGATAACCGAATAATATTAGCAAAAATATAAGCATTTTATTAACGAAATATATAAAATCAAAAAGAATTTAAATGATAAAAATTCAAAAAAAAATGTACTTTTAGAAATTACATAGAGAAAATTATATTTATATTGAATAAAAAAATATTTTTTAGATATGAAATTTTCCATGCGCTTATTAATTTTGCTCCTTTTTTTAATACAAGAGATTTCCTGAAATAAATATAAAATAATCTAATCACATTTCATATATAAAGTACTTTACAAAGAACATATTATTCTTCGGAAGGTTCTTTAAGACTTGTAAGACTGATTATTAAAAATTAATTTATTCAATTCTGAAAATGGTCGGTCATGGATGATGGTTCATCAAAAGTTTAGCAAGTAGGAATCATTTTAAAATAGCTTTTTAATATAACAATATATCGCATTCTACATTCTGGGATCGTGATTACGCCGAGACCCTTAATAATTTTTTTTTTTTTTTAAAAAACAATATTTCATTAATAGTTAATATAATAATATTTTAATATTTTAATTGGTTGAATATATATAGCTGGAATCATCAAACATTTCCTTATAAGGTGGGGTTTAAAGAATATCTCTCCTCCCATATAAAATACTCCATAAAGTTTTGACTTAATTGAAGGAACGCTACTCAATATCTTGAGCTCATATTGATTGCTTATTTTCGAGAATCGATTGGAATTCTTTTTTGAGTATTATCAAAGTTTTTAATATCTTGATTTTTAATAATCAAGTCGCAGTTTCTATGCATAATTTATGTACTTTATAGTCTAAACGTCACATTCTTTTGCTTGTTCATTAGGAGCATTAATTTTATTATTCAAAGATCATTGTATAAATTCATTTTTGAGCAGAAGTCTGCGGTATTATCCACTGACACTTTCTTGCGTATTCATTATTTGAAAGAAACTTTGAAAGTTGAACCATATGATTATATGAATATTTTAGGAGGTCAAATGCATGGTCTTAAACAAAAATGCTTAATCGAACGAAAGGGACGTAAAAAGCACTTTTGATGATATATGGCAAATGAGTTTTTGTTATAATGAAAAAATATTTCACACTCATGATTTTATTCGAGTATTTTAATTTCAGCCGAATTTATAATTTTGGCTGGAATTAAATTCGTGAATTCTGATCATATTTATAGTATTCGTGCGTGTAAAGTTTTATAATGAGATGGAATTTTTTGAAAATTTTTTTATTTAATTTATTTTTTATTTACAATATATAGAAAACCTTTATTTAAATCTAATTTATTTTTTTTTTTTAATATCTTTTATATTATAAATAAATTTGTTTAAAAAATATTAAACTTTATTTTTTTAAAAATAAAAAATAATTATTATAAAAATTATAATATTTGTAAATACTTTTATTTATTTATTAAAGGTTTATTATTATCCCTCTATTAAAAAATATATAATTTAAATGTTTAAAATTTTTTTTTGATAAATGTAATTTTTTTATAAAAAATAAATTTAATATTTCTACTCTATTTTAAAAAATTTTATAAAACATATAAATTATTAATTTTAAATAGGAGTTGTCTAGTTTCCATCCGAGATGGTATATAATTTTTTTGTCATCCTATCCCTTCATCTGTAATGCAGGCAAATTTGCCTGCAAACATAAAAAAAAAGTATTAATTTTTTAATAAAAAATAAAATATTAATGTTAATAATATAATTATTATATAAAAA